TGCAACTTCAAAACTGACATTAGACTTAGGCCACGACACGTGGCCCCTACTGACTAGCATCCGCTAAGGTACATTTCTTTCTCAACTAGGATCCCTAGTTGATGCACACCATAGCAGACCTACTGTAGGACTTGCAGCGGGACAAACCCTTGGGCGAGCCATGCTGCTCTGCTCAGCAGAACACTTCCCCTCCTAGAGGAGACCCAGGTTCTTTATCATCGCGGTACTGCCGGCTATGGTGCATGAAAGTGATCATGGATCACTGCCACGGCTCAGTTCACTTCATCCTCCGCTCTTAGTATGTCCCCAGCACTACCTAATGGGCGACCGTTGCCCTCTCCACAGTGCCTTGATCCATGATGGGAAGATCGTTGTGGAGCATGAAAGTGGCTTCGACTGGAGTGATAAGCCCATGAAAGGAACGTCCGGCGCCAAGTGGCCAACCCATTTCGATCCCCGTGACGACGAGCTTCTCTTTCCGCGGACGCGTGGTTTCGCCAAGGCGTAGGGTACCTGATCAGTCCCGCACCTTATGGCGGCCCACGCCAGCTTGCAGTGAGCCGGTCGGCAGCCAACTCTTCACGTTCACCAGAACCAGAGGGCCGGCGTCCGTCTCAAATTTCGGGACGATCTTCACTGCCCAAGTGAGAGCATGCCAAGGTCTGACAAAACCTCGTACCACGACGCGGGCTGGCAACTGTGTGTAGTCAATGACTTGTCGGACGTTGGAGGCAGTTGTGGCACTCGACACAGAACGGCGCATAATTGTGTGTTTTCCACCTGCCAGTTTGACGGATTGGACGCAGTGCCAGTGTTGTATAGAAAGCACAAAACACGACAAAGTATCATAATATTGCTGTGGCAATGCATATTCCTCCGAGTGTAGCAGTACGAGTCGTATGGAAGACACGTTGTGTATTCATGTGTGATGAGTACATAACTGAATGTATAATTGCGGTATTATACCCGCGGTATAATACCACTGTATTATACCACCGTCCAAAAGGACTAAACACTGTCAACTGTATAATAATTGGAAGTGCGCAGGTCCGCGCGGCTCCGACACCCCGCCTCTAATTGCGGTATTATACCGCGGGTATAATGTATAATACCGCAATTATACATACAGACCCATACCCGCCTGACCTCCACATCGAAGATGAGGCCGAAGGATGAGATATGGAAAACGTTTGGCGAGCCGTTCACCATGGGCAGTAGTAAATCAAAGTACTGCAAGTGTTTGGCCTGTGAAGGAGACGTTATTGCAGCAGCGGGTCGTATGCGCGATCATTGGGCGACATGCAAGAAACGACCGCGCGCAATTGGTCAGCTCGATGCGGGCTTCCAGCCATCTCGAAAGTCGGCGAAGACTGCTGGTACTTCTACAGCTGCGAGCTCATCCCGAGGTGACAGTGTTATGGATGATCTGGTTGATCCATTGAATTCATCATCCTTCCGTGGAAGCGGTCGCCCGTACATCGACTCGATCTCTGGCGAAGGGATGAGGAACCTACACGAGCTCTTCGCTCGTGCTGTTCATCGCACATCGATGCCGTTTGCCGCGTTTGTGCATGAATCATGGCATGCGTTCTTCAAGGCGCTTCGCGGAACCTTCAAGATTCCATCGACCGAAGCAATCGGGGGCGATTTGATGCGATCAGAATATGCACTGACAATGAACGACGTTCTGCTCGCTCTCGCCAAGAATACTCTCATCTGCTTCACGCTGGACGGTGCCACGAACTTTTAGGGGAAACAAGTCATCAACATGATGGCGTGCGGACCTAAGCCGTTCTTTCTTGAACACTTCACGATGGAGCTGCGACGGGAGAGCGCGGCCAATCTGCTGGAGAAGCTTCTGAACTGCAAGCTGCGCCTACTGGGTTCGATCCGAAAGCCGGCCCCTGGTTTCGTGCTAACTACGGACGAAGAGGATGTTGAAAACCCAATGAATGACACAGGTGTTGAAGTGGAGAGGGAAGAAGGACGTCCATGCAAGACTAACGAGCACTTCATCAATCCGCCGATGTTCTGTTTCTGCAGCGATTCTCCTAGCGTCATGGTCAAGTTGCGCAAGGACTGCCTGAACACGAAGGAGTTTGTGTTCGCGTACGGCTGTGCGCCATATTCCATCCACAATCTGTGCATGGACCTCATCAAGACCTTTCCCGGCGTGAAAATCGTCTTGAAACAGATCGTCTACATGGTGAAGACATTGAAGTCGTCCCACTTATTGCTGCAACTATTCGACAAGCTCTGTCTAGAGAAGTTCAAGAAGACGTACGTCCTCATTCTCTACACAAAGACTCGATGGGGCGCCGTGTTCTTCGCTGCGCAGCGTGCGAGCAAGGTGAAGGCGGCGTGTGCGGCGCTGCCCGGCGAGATTCTCAACGCCGATTCGACATTGACATCCGCGACGATCTTAAGATGCTGCTTACTGATCCAGCATACTGGAGAGGTGTCGCAGCGATGAAGTCTCTCTTTTCAAGACGATCAGCTGCTGCCTGACGTATCTGGAGGGAGACGAGGCGACATTCTCGGCGGTATATGCGTGCTTCTTGACGATCAAGTATCACATCAAGACTCTCGATCTCTCCGTGATGGAAGCCCTACATCTGAACTACGACGATATTTGCGAGATGATCAGGCTCATCCACCACCGCTTCTCGACCATCTATTCGGAGGCCCATGCCCTCGTATTCTGTACTGATCCTTTGTTCATCAGCATGCGCAGGTCGATGGGGTTCAGGTTTGACGAGAAGTTCTTGCACCTCGGGAAGGGTTCGATAAACCAGCAGTCAAAAGCGGTGATTGCCCGTATTTCGATGGGCAACAAGATCCTGCGTCGATCGATGTTGTCTGAATTCGCCGTGTTCGTCACTCGCCAGCAAGACACCGAGGACGACTTCTCCGACACGAGTATCAAGCCATAAGTTCTGTGGACAGTATGTGACGAATCGAGCTACGGATCCCTTTCGGGGCCACTCTCTGCGTTGCATCAGAACCCGACCGGGGCGAGTGGAGGCGAGTGCAATCACAAGGCTGCCAAGCGAGTTCATACCTAGAACCTCGCTCGAATGGGTCACTCCAAGATCGAGTCTGGGACCGCCATCCTGTTCAATTCAGGTCAGCTGGTTCGTCGACTGGCGCTGACACGAAATACGAAATTTTGCACGTGGCTGCAGCAGCTCGGAGCCGACGATGAGGAACTGCTTGTTGAAGAGGAACACTCGACGAGGAAGAAGATGCAGCCGCTGATGCTCTCATTAAGGAATTTGACCACGTTCACATTTCTGACGGCCTTGAAGGCATGATGGACAACGAATTATTCGACGAGGAGGTGATGGACGAGGGTTCCATCCTCTATAATTGAGACATCTCGATGACCACTGCAGGAGATCCACTCCCCGTCGAACAAGTATCACAAATACAAACGACTTTCCAATCTTTTGAAATTTCTGTGGCGGTGTATCATACAAAATGGTATTAAACGGTATTATACAGGCAGCCCCAGCATTTTTCAATAATACAGACCCATATGATAAGTGAAACGGATTTATGCAGAAGATATAATTTTTGAATGTCCTAGTACGGTGAAGCGACATGATTGAATATAGTGTCGTTGTCGTCTAGTGGTTAGGACGCAAGCTTCACACGCTTGAGATCGGGGGTTCGATCCCCCCCATCGATACTTCTTTTCTCCTTTTTGAAATGTACTAACCAGGGGTTTCGGGGTCGTTACATCACACTCGGTCTCTCGACATACTTTACACGCACTACTCTGCATCGCACAAAAGACAGTTGATCCTCTTCTTGTCAACATCAGGCATTCTCGTGCGGTTGCAACCTGCGACAAACTACACGCCTTCGTACATTTGGCCCAGCTCTGTTGCTTCCGTGCGCACTACGACTGCAATCGAGCATTCATCCCCACACCTTCAAAAATGCGTATCGGAAAGGAGAACGGCTCTGCGGCTTTGCATCGGGCTTCAACGTGAGGTCAAACCGCACGGAGCGCTCTGGTGGCAACCCATCAGGCAGTTCCTTGGGCAAACCAACCTTGAAGGCGTCCAACACTGCTTCGATTCCTGTAGGTGTTGACTGAACTTGCGCCTCCACGCGAAACAGCTTAAGAATCCATCCTTCGCAGTCCTACATGATCAGAGCATTTGTTTTCACTTCTTCAAC